ATTTAGCTAATGTTCACAGTTCTGTCAGTGTCTATACTGCAAATCCAGCAGGAGACACAGTTGGGGGAGGATCCAGGGAAGGAAAGGTTAGAGACTAGCCCTCCCCGGAAAGCTCCTTTGTTACACAAAGTTGTTAACAGGAAATGGCTTCCGCTTTTCTTCAAATTTACTTACTTTCCTGACGGTGCACAGGGTCAAAAGGCAGCTGGCATTTACAGTGAGTGGGGAGCTATCAGTCTCAAACATAAAGCAATAGGGTAGAGCCCACTGGAAGTATCAATCTATCTTTGGGCTGGTCAATTTAGGAGAAAGCTGTTTAAAGAGGAAATTACAGTTTAAAAAAGAAAACTCAATTTCAGTACCCAGGAGTCAAGTGTGGATGGGTTGTTCTGAGAGGGAATCAGTGATGCTGAAGAAATTCTGCCCCAGAGTATGAGGCGATGAAAGCCCAGCAGTAGGTCCAGGGTAAAAAAAGATTTTCCCCGCTAAGTTCCTGCTTACTGTGGTGCTGAGTGAGTTTAGCTGGCATCAGGAAGGCACTGCTGAATAGGTTTTGCAAACTCTGGAACAACAAAAAGAGAAGGCATAAATAAGAAGACGTGGAAAAGTGTCATCAGAGCCTCCATGGGAAGCCTTAAAAGAGCCGGAAAGGGAATATACACAACACTTATTTTCAGCTTGTGTTTGTAGCTCCGCAAAGGAATTGTCCATCAAGAACAACTGCCTTTCCTGACATTGCTAGGAAATGGTACAAAGGTGGAGCTATGTAATCCAAACTTTAATCCTAATTAGTGCTGTAGAACAGACCTGCTTAGTTACAATATATAGAAACCCAATTGTTTTAACAAGTACTGGAGCACAAGTTCCCAGTCAGTTTTTTATTCACGTGCATTTAAGATTCTTTTTATTCTTCTTATTACTGATTAGTTTTTACCATGTGCAGTAAATCTTTAAACAGTAGTTGCAGGTTATACTGCGTCTGAGCTATACAAGTGGCTGAAACGACTAGAAAAGTGCTCGGTATGGAGCAGAAGTAATTTTGTCATCTTGCAAATAACTAGTTTCAGTTCTTGTTCTTTCAGTTTGGCTTCTTGTAAAAGCCAGCAATAACAAAAACAACCTTCCCCCATCATTTTTTCTAGAAGGAAAAAGAATATGAAACCTCTTATCTGTCTTGGAGAAGTTATAACAGGCTGGAAATGTTATGAAAGCATTAAACAGGCCAACCAGGCAAAGCAATGATGTTCAGAGACAACTTTTGTAGAATAAAAGGAATTATCATTTAAGACATGCTACAGATAACGTGTAACTCATTGCTGACTTTGGTGGGTTAGCTCGGGATGCTGATCCCTCTCTTATTACACTGACAGTCTCAGCTTACATCTCTTTCGATAACCATAGCAGGTGACTATGAAGAGCTTTTCTCAAGTGACTGGACTGGGAACATTTGAGATTTGAAATGGACAATAGCCTGGAATTAAACCCCGAACCCTAATGCAACCGGAATCAGCAGTTTCATTCCTAAGTATACGTTGTTGAAATCAGAAATCACAAAGGTGTGCATAGTCATAGATAAATGCAAATTTATGAGAATTTATAATCTTGTCAGTCTGTTCTGTATCCGCAGCTCTATAGGTGACCACAATGGAGAGTCATGATGGCACCTGTCAGGGGCCTGTTAAAGGATAGTAAAAGAAGAAGATTCTTCGAAGCGTTTCTCTCTTCCTCATTCAGCATTATTTTCTCAGTCAGTCAGTTAACTGCTTTCATTCAAACTGCAGAGTCCTAGGATATGATGCCAGTTAAATCTGATATGAAAACAACCTGGAGCTAAATGTCACCTGCACGTAGCTGGCCTCTTACTCCAACTCTGTTCTGCAGTCCTCGCCATCACCTTTCTGAAGATGTGAAAGAAAAGGTACAGAAATAGACGTACAGCTGTTCAGAAAAACCTGTTTCAAAGTGATCCTGCCGCAAAAGGGTGCCAAAGACCTGAGGGCTCCGCAAAGGGAAGTCCTCCCCTAATCAAAGCAGGAGCCCTGACATCTGCGGTTTGGCATGAGCCGTTTGATTTCTGTGGAGATAGCCTCTCCATCGAGAAATGTGTGGGATAATAGTGCCGCTCTGTGGCCAGACAGGTAAAATGCAATTTCTGAATTTTCACAGGTTTTCTTTGCTTTCAATCGTTTTACCAGACAGGAGGGTAGTAAAGATCAGTTTGTAGTTTTCATTCTTGTTGATAAGTCCAAGTACCTTTCAATACATTTTATTTGTTGTTATAAAAAGTCCTAAACGTGTAAGCTAAGATGAAAACTAAAAAAAATGATCAAACAAAACCTTGCATCCAAACCCCCTGATTCTGAGGAGCACTGAGACTGAGAATCTGCTGTTGCTCTGAAACTTGGCAAGTTGTACAAAGTGCATTTTCAGGCCCATACTTACATTGTCATCTTAATCACGTGACTTCCTGTGGAACTGGAATGAGGGAAGGCTCCATGGGGGGAACTGCATTTGTATATTGCAAAGCAGAATTTCCTCTGGACTAATCTGGAGAGCTGAGCTTCATCAGCGTACTTCCAAGCTGAAATTTTACTTCCCATAGAAGTAACATATTCAGATAAGATATTACCTGTAGTGCAAGTAAGCAGTGAGATTAAACATTATTTGACAGCCTCTGTAGGGCTTCCCCTTGACACCAACTGAAGGAATAGTAAAAAAACCCCAACAAAACCAGTCCTTGCTTCATAGTTTTTACATGCAACAGATGGAGAGGCAAATACTAGGATACATGAGAGGATGGAGTAAGCGCCTTTTTTTGGCATGCATAACATCAACATTTTTATAAGTGCACCCATTTTTTTATCTTTTTTTCCTTTTCAACTAGAAACATTGTGAATAATGGAAGAATTGAGATTAAGGCATTTCAAGACAGTCAGAGCTGTATTTTAACTGGTTTCTAAGGTGAAAAGAGTGTGTGTGCAGTATGTGGCATTGATAAACATATGACATAAACTGGAACAGAGACCAGTTGTAAGAGGAAGAGCTCATTAGCTCATAGTCTCAGAAAATGGAGTGATGGTGTTGGGCTAGGTAAGGAAGCCAAAGAAGCTCAGTTTTTAATTGCCTTGAGGAAGCAAAGCTGAGATGTTAGGAAGTCAAGGAGGAAGAGATCTGTGAAGACATAAGAAGAAGGACCTGGAACGAGAGTTCAGTGGTATAGACAGAAGAGTACAGAGCATGGTCAATTTATGTGGGAAAAACTAAAACAATTTAGGTAGCACTTGAATAAATGAGTCTACAGAGAGGACCTGCACTCTGGTAAAATGCTAAACAGCTTTGGAAATTATAAATTCAGAGGTCAGAGTAACAATATGAAAAATATTCTGCAGTCATATACAAAAGACATAGTAGTTCAAACAGAAATCAAAGCAAGGAAAGTACTTTTCCTTTCCTCATCAGCTGTTGCACACCTGCCAGCTAAGGGATGAGAACATGAGAGAAAAGTCTTTGCTCTGTTCCATATTTCTCCACATCTACCTCGCTGTCAGGGTACAATGAGGGCTCCTAAGGGGGCATCAGGGCAATGTCTGGCAGCCAGGACCCATCCCGCTGCCTCCAGCAGGCAGGCTTGGGGGCATGCAGAGACAGCCTCAGCCTTGGGCATCAGGCACCTCCCTGAGAAAGGGGATAGGCTGAGGCCTCAGGGCCCTGGCATCTTCTCAGAAACTTTGTTCCAGCTGTATGAGGCATACAGAAATTGAACAACAGGGAAATACTCACTAAACAACACCTAAAAAAGCATCAAACCTTTCCCAGATACCCTGGAGCATATACCATGTCTTTTCAGGAGTGCTGAGGACAAAGAAATCAATGCCATGTCGTGGTTGACACTGTTTCAGGTGGTGCTGGCTGGTCACGATGAGGAGAACGTTGCTCATGGAAGTTCATATGGAGGCTCTATTTGGACCTGTCCTGGGCACTCAACATTTCCAGGTGCAAGGACCAGCTCATTGTGTCCATTCAACCTGTTGTGAACACTGAGCCCAGCCACAGAAGGAGCTGAGTTTCTGTCGTGCCACCAAACTCATCACAAGCAGCAGGCTGCTGGCAGCCATAGCCACACGTAGGGAAGGTCTTTGACTGAGATTTACCGCGTCCTGTAGTTTTCAAATCCAAACCTGTGACATGGGGGGAAACTTGTGTGGTTGTTCTGCCAGGCAGAACTCAGAAGTAAGCTCTGCTCCTCCAAGTTTAGCCATGGCCAGTTCAGTGCTCCTGGCCAAACACCTTTAGGCAATTGGTAGGCATCACAAGTTGTATTTTATCCTAAGCAGTTTGTCTCTCTCGCTGACAGCGGAGTGCTCTGAAATGGAAAGCAAACAAACACCCAGCCCCTTTCATGGTATCTGACTGTGTTGAGCAAGGAGCAGGACCTCCTCATGACTTGTGGTCATGCTTGTGTCCTTGTGGCTGCTGTCCTTCAACACAGGGGTCATGGCAGCCTGGATGAGTGGGAACTAATAAGAGACAAGGACCAAGCTTTCTCCTTTGAAAGCTGTGACATGGCATCAGTGAGGGCGTAGCAGGTGACTTTTTGTGCTCTCCAGCTAGAGTTATATACTTCTGGGCAGAGTTAACTGTGATGAGGCAAGCACAAAGCTGGTAGCATATCCACTGCCAGTTACGCTATCAAAAAACATTTTCTTTCATCAAATGTTTGTCCCAAGAAGCAGGGGTGAAACAGAGGCCACTGGGCTGGAGAACAGCATCCTATTTCCAACCCTACTAGGAATGCCCTAGAGGTACCAGCACCTTTCTCAGAGTGTTTGATGAGCACCTGAAGGGCAGGTGCTTAACATCTGCTGTGCGTTTTGTTGTGTGAACTCGTTACTCTGAACTTCTGGGAGTCAGTCAACAACTTTGAGCAACTGTATGTTGTCAAGAGATGTCACCACAGGCAGACTTTTCTACAGCACATCAAAGCCTGTGGTTGTATTTTGTAGCTTTCAGAATACACTAAGCCAGCTTTCAAGCCTCTTGGATGCCATCTCAGGAGGAAGCAATTTGCCTTCAACTGCTGGCTCTCACACCTGCCCATCAACCCTGATGGGACAGCTTCCTGCCCACATGCTAAATGAACAGCATTAGTCTGTTAGCAGGAGAGCACTTGGAAAGAGCATGAGGTGAGTTTCCCATGGGTGTTCCAGAAATCAGGGTCAGAACAAGAGTAACAGACCAGCATACAGGAAAGCAAAAGGCCAAAATTCCCTAAGCCTGAAACATCATATTTGGTGGTCTTGTGGCTTTAGTTTGGGGTCCTGGCTAGGTCAAACCTGGTGGTCCCCTGCAGTTCTGCAAGAACCTCTCACAGCCCAAACTTGGAAGAAGTCCCCTTCAAGATGGCTGCTGGCAGGTAGACAGGTGAGCTCTCCAGTCAGCACACCCACCTGTGTCCAGAGCCTCCTTCAGCTCCCAGCAGGCTTTCTCAAGGGTTGGTAGTCTGAACATTCCCTCCGTCCATGGTCCTTCCACATATGACATAGTGAGGAGATGGTGCATGAAACACTGGCAGGGCTGGGTGAATGGCAGCTTTGGTGGCTTTCCTCAGAGACACAAGCAAGTCTGGATGGAGAGGTATGCTCTGCCATCACTGGGCTGGGATCTACTTGTTGCTCCAAGCAGATTGCCATCAAGATGAAAGCTCATGGTAAGGACCAGATCTACTACTCCTATTCCTGGCTCTGCTGAAGGTTGTGTGCCCCAGAATTGCCTTCCAAAGAGGTGACATGGGCTGGACCAAACCCCCACCCCAGGTCTTTCCACCACTGGGCAGGGACGTGCCTTCTGGGTTGTGCCTGTCAGAGGGGTGTGCTGCCAGGAAAGCACCTGTCTCCTGAGCTCCGCAGCATCGCTGCTGGGGACACTGCCTGCGGACACTGCGGGGACATCCCCAGAGAAGCTGGTTAGGACCAGTGAGGCCCCTCAGTGCCTTCAGCACCCCGACACTCACATGGATATTGTGAATATTATTTGGGAGAGATCTGTGAGGTCATTTAGAAATTACCATTATTATCCCCATATTATCCACATATCTACAAAGAAATTCAGTTTTGGATGAAAAACTATGATGAAAATCTATTTATAGTTTTAGTGAAGATAATCTTTTGTTTTCGGCAGCAAAGGGAACTAAGCTTTCGCATGCCTCTAATTACATCTTTGATGCAAAGGTCACTGCATGTCTAACAGGAGAGACAGAACAGCAGTGACTCCACAATGCCTGTGAGGCCATTAGTGGGGAGTGTTTTGCACTAATAAAAAGGAAGGATTGACATGCAGTTTGCTTAGAAGTTTCTGCCTTGCTTTTTGGGATACTTCTGGTAGTTTGGCAATGTGTATAAGGGGAACTGCCTTCTTGATAAGTGTTTCTGATGGACTCAGCCATACCTTTGCTACATGATTAACACTGATTTCCAGTGAATTGGTTAGAATTAGACCTACCTGCTTCAGAGGTCACCTTGTTTTGGTGTATGGCATCACAGCCACAAAGACTATCTTGACAGCCATGCTAAGAGCATTGTGGTCTAACTCTGAAATGATGTGGTCTCCCTAAGAAACCTTCAACTATCATCTTGTTCTCCAAAGCCTGTGTCTCATGTCCTTCTGCAGGTCACAGAACCATAGAATTGTAGAATGGTTTGGGTTGGAAGGGACCTTTAAAGGTCACTTAGCCCCCCCCCCTGCCATGAGCAGGGACATCTTTCACTAGATCAAATTGCTCAAAGGTCCATCCAGCCTTGAACATTTCCAATGACGTTGCATCCACAGCTTCTCTGGACAACCTGTGCCAGAGTCTCACCAACCTTATTGTAAAAAATTTCCTCCTTGTGTACAATCTAAATCTACCCTCTTTCAGTTCAAAGTCTCCTTCTTCTTCCTGTCTGTGCCCCATGGAGTGAGGGCAAAATGCTCTGACGGTGAATTAGTGATTGGGACAAAATTCCAGTTATGGGAACTGGATTTAGGGCATCCACCTTATTTAGGGCATGAGGAGGAGAAGGGATTCTCTCCTATAGTACTAGTCCTGATTATTGCTCTTGTTGATGAATATCTAGGAAATGGGGGAATGTATGCCTAACAAACAGAAAACAAATAAATTGACTGACATTCTATGAAATTATAAATGGAATTAGCAAACACTGGCTTTGCTCCTGTGAATTCAGAGACATGAAACACAAGGCAAGAAGATTTGTTTTACTCACATAAGACATAGCTGGGGTAGGGATTGTCCTCGTCTCTGAACACAGTTTCTGAATTATTTAGCATACAGCCTTTCTGCTCAGGCAGTAGTCTCACTCAGAGCTCATCTCATCTGCTTTTACTTTCTTTTCTTTCATTCTTTCTTAAACTGACTTGCAATTGTTCCCATATATTATTTATTGGAAATACTATGCTTTTATAACATAGATGTGGGTAGAACAGAATCTGTAAGCACAGTTTGCACCCTGTATTTGGAATAATTGGCAGGAAGAAAGAAAACAGGCTGCAGTTCAATGCGTAGGGTATGAAAATGTAAAAAAAAAAATTAAAAAAATACAGAGTTATCTCTATTTGCCCATGAATTACGCTGTTCTGTGCCACAGAAAACCTGAAAGCAATCTCCAATAAGACTGTACCCTAGTTGCATTCTTCAGTCTGGCTTTATTTCTTCTTTTATTTTATTTTTTAACAGAAGCAGCCTATTTCTGTAGCATGTTAGAGTGCTGCAATAAAGACTCCATCACATCATATTTCAAATACTCAATTACTTGTCGGATAGTAGAATCTCTACCCTTTCTTCCTGTATCTATATTTTAGTTTACTTAAAAGACATTTCAGAGCTATGAATGTCTGGTCAGATGAAACAGATGCATACCAGAGCCTCCTATCAAGCCTTAGAGAAGACAAGCAGCAGCAAAGGCAGAAGAAACATGAAAAAATCAAGAGACAATTCACTTGACCCACTAGTATGTCAAAAAATACCAACTACACTGATCTTACAGTACAATTTCCTATGGAGAGGAAGTTTTTCCCAAAATGAAGAACAAGCAGATTAAGGACCAGACAACAATATAACTTATTTTTAAGAAGAAAGAACTCTGACAAATGGGTAACCCTTGGGGAGAAGCGTGCACTGCAGAGTGTGCAAACAGAAGGATTGGGATCTGCTGCACATAGTAGTTCTCTTTTTTTATTGCCATCTAGAGAGCTTCCTGCCCTTTTTCCATTTATAGACTGGTTCCAGAAAAGATCACACACGAGCACACACCTCATGATTTATCACATGCGTGGTGGTGTGTTTATACTGTTAGATTAACTCTGCAACAAGTGCTGTAAATAAGCATTAGCTTTTGAATTAACCTAAAGCCTGACCATAATAACACATCTTACATACCCACGAGCTGCACAAAGCTCATGGAGGCTCTTGGTGCCAACCAGCTCTGTGGGTTGACTGTAGGAGAGCCGTGTATCACAGAAATATCTTGCAAAACATGGTCTGTAGGACCCCTTGCAATCCCATGCAGTTTATCTGGGTTTGAATCCTTGTTTTGTTTTGTTTCTCATTCCTCTTCCTTTCTTTAAAATATGGAAAACTGACACATCTTGCCCCCAGGGTAAGAAATATGTCTCTGGTTGGCCACTAGTGACCCGGTCACTGACCAGACAGTCCCTTCCACATGTTGAACTTCATCCCCAGCAATGGTGGCTTGCGACATGGAGGCATCACGAAATCATTGCTGGGGAGACTGCATCTCCCACAGACATGTGGGGGTTCCCCGCAGTCCCAGGGAAGTGCAGATGAATAACATTTCCTTCTTCATCCTCAGAGGTATCTGGAGAGCAGCTCTGCATTAATGCCACAATGAGATTTGCAGCCACTTTCAGTTCTGCATGCCTCTGAGCATCCTTTTAGGAGCAAACCCCAACCAATAAAGTAGTCAAATACCAGCTTTGCTGGGCTTCTGCCTGACTGACATCAGCTGCTGTTGCACAAGCGATTCTCAGAGCTGTTTCAGCAGCATATTTTTGCCTCTGGCGAGTAAAGTTCAAGTGGTGCTGTCTTGTTAAACATTTTTCCCTTCTTTTAAAGCATTTTTTTTCCAGCTCAGCCACAGAGGACTGACTTTGCTTCACTTAAAAAAAAGTTAAAATGTAGTAAATAACTTGATGTAAAGAATTTTATAGATTTTCACTCCAGGGAAGGCATTTTGACGGGTCAGATTTCAATGAGACATTAAAATATCATGCTTGTGTGCATTTTTCTAAATTGCTGTCGTTACTGTCTGTGCAACAGGTAGTGAAAGCTGATGCTACAGAGATTGGTTTTGTACTTTCTCCCATAAGACTGGCAGAAAAATTGTCAGTTGTGCTGTTGCTCATGTTTAAATCCACACCCTTGAGCTGTGATTCAGCAAATTCCCGGACTAACTCTGGTCTGAAACCCGGGTTCCTCCTTGTCCTGTCCTGCCGGGGGTGGATTTCCCCTAGAAAAGCCAATGAACAAAAGCTAATTTATTTCTGTATGCAATGGGGAGGAAACTTGCTCCAGCATCTCCCCACCTCTTCCTGCAAGACATTGGTTCTCTTTTGCACTGATCATTTCAGGTCGTGAATAAAAATGGAAGTTAGCAGCAGCGGAGCTGGGATATAGAAATTGTTTTTTCCAACGGCACTCCCTGGCTCTGATCCATACCTCATAAATAATAGCTCTGACCTCATTTTAGCTACAAAGAGAAGCAAAAGCAAACTGCCTGTCTCTCTTCAGCAAACCTAAGCTGCTGCCTTAGAGAGGCAGAACTGAGCACTCTGTTATTAACTGACATTATTGAGGAAGTATTCTTGCTTTCTATTTTTTGGCTGCAATTTTTTTGCCACGGTTGTGACAGCATCTTGATGGGGAAGCTGATCTCCAAAGGCCGCCACAAAAGAGATGCTCGAGTTGTCATGCTGGGGCTTGACTTTGCTGGCAAATCCACTCTTCTGTACAAACTGAAGAGCGGTCGGGCTGTGGAGACCTGCCCAACAGTGGGCTTCAACGTGGAGTCTCTGCAAACGCCCTGTCGTATATCCTTCACCCTCTGGGATGTTGGTGGACAAGACAACCTGCGGGCAAGCTGGCCTGACTACCTGGAGGACACCAACATCCTCATCTTTGTGATCGACAGCACAGACACGGCCCGTCTGCCCGAAGCGATGGCAGCGCTGGAGGAAGTGCTGAGCCAGCCCAGCATGGCTGGTGTCCCTGTCCTCCTCCTGGCCAACAAGCAGGAAGTTCCAGGAGCGCTGGCTCCCGCCGAGCTGGGGGAGAGGCTGCGGTGGGGGCAGCTGGCGCGACGCCGCTGGGTCCTCCAGGGGTGCAGCGCCCACACCGGACAAGGCCTGCAGGAAGCCCTGGCCATCCTGGGAGAGCTGCTGCGGGGCCCGGAGCAGAGCACTCTGTCCCAGGAGCTGCCCCCTGCAGGGCCGGTGGGGAGAAGGCAAGCTCTGGGACAAACCTGAACCTTGAGTCGACCCTTTCCAGTTGTCGGTGCTCGCAGGTTTGCCACAAGAGGATCCCAGCCTCCAGGTGACCCCTAAAATAAACAGACCTGCAGTTGGAACATGCCACGCTGAAAAACACCCAGCCGCTTGACACCAAAACCTGCCAGGAAGACCGTTGAGCAAAACTCCCACCATGGACCATTTTTGGCTCCATCTCTTGGACTCTCATTAGCGGCCACAGATTGTACTGCAGTCACCAGACTCTGCTCATCCATCGTGTGTGTGTCCAGTGCTTCAGCAGGAATGCTTTTTGCCAGAGCAATATAAATTATACCAGAGATGTGCACAAGGGACAGAGGGGGTTATTTTCTTTCCACGTCTCCCAGCCCTGATGCAGCTATGCTGATGGGGTAATCCCCATGGGGGGGTATTGTTTGAACATGCCCTATACCGCTTCTTGCTCAGCTCAGATCACTCATTCATCAGCTGGAAAAGCAGCAGCTACTAAAAGGGAATGGCTAAACTGGAGCAGTGTAAGCGCAGGACTTCGAACAGCCAGCAGCTAAGTGGTTTTAATGTGGCATCTACGGGTATAATCTTAGAGCCATGGACATGAGTCAGTATTGGTTGGTGTAATGTGGTTCAATGATGTGTATATATAAATTTCTGCATTTCTTGGTTTGGGTCTTTCTTTTCCATTTGTTATTTTTATCAAATACTGATTTCATGAAAATGGTACCTCATTTTCCTTGGATTATATTTAAATATAATCAGATCTGACACATCTGCATGGTCAGTCAACCTCTAAATACCCTCATGGTGACCTGAACAGCCAAGATTAAGCTGAAGCCCCATATATCAGACTTTCTGAAACTGGATGAGACCACTCTACGGGCAATGGTTGGTAACCATGGGCTCCTACAGGCACAGGCAGGTTGGTAACCAAAGGGCTCTCCCCACTCAAACAGGGAAGGGATCTGACCCCTGTACTCAGCACTGGTGAGGCCGCCCCTCGATTCCTGTGCTCAGTTTTGGGCCCCTCACTACAAAAAGGACATTGAAGGACTCGAGCGTGTCCAGAGAAGGGCAACGGAGCTGGTGCAGGGTCTGGAGCACAGGTCGTACGGGGAGCGGCTGAGGGAACTGGGGGTGTTTAGTCTGGAGAAGAGGAGGCTGAGGGGAGACCTCATCGCCCTCTACAGCTCCCTGAAAGGAGG